CCAATTGCTCTTGATTATTAATTTTCTGTTTTAATATATCACCAAGTCCCTGTTATGAGGCGTCTGTTTCTACTATTTTAGACGTTGCCCAAGTACTAAATACTGCCAATGATAGCAAAATTCTTATCAATTACAAGTTATCAGATGCTGCAGTATACAATAATGATGCTTGTTTCAAATTCCCCTTCATAATGGTAAAATGTTTAAGTCAACATGTTAATCTGGGAACCCCATTTTTAAACATGCTCTATCCAATTAAAATTGATGACACATGGATAGAAGCTAATATTGAAGGATATAAGGTTAAATTCACCTTTATTGACAAGCCTAGAATCCATGAGATTAATAATATCAGGGATAATATTTCTCCTAAAGAAAAATTTCTTTCTAAAAGAAGAAATAAAATATAAAAATATAAAAGAAAAATTACTTCTTCTAGGAATACAAAATAAAATTAAAACTTTAAAAATAGATATTGAAAAGAACATATGTGTCGATATCCCTAATGCTTTCTGGGATAAAAGACAATATATTGTTGAGCTTCCTTATGAACCAGATTTTTTAGAAGAAAAAATTCTTACTAAAGCAAGACCTATTCAAATGAACAATAAGCTACTCGGAATTTGTAAAAAGAAAATAAAAGAATTATTAGACAAAAAACTTATAAGAAAAAGTTCATGACCTTGGAGTTGCTCAGCCTTTTATATAAAAAGGCCTCAGAAATAGAAAGAGGAGCTCCTAGGTTGGTTATAAATTATAAACCACTCAACAAAGTTCTTAGATGGATCAGATATCCGATCTCAAATAAAAGAGACCTTCTGTATAGACTGGCTAACGCATGTATGTTCTCAAAATTTGATCTCAAATCAAGTTACTGATAAATCCAGATTGCTGAAAAAGACAAATACAAAACTACTTTTAATATCCCATTTGAACAATTTGAATGGAATGTCTTGCCCTTTGGATTAAAAAATGCACCATCAAAATTTCAAATATATCATGAACGAAATTTTTAATCCATATACTAAATTTATGATTGTTTATATTGATGATGTATTTGTTTTCTCATAATCTATTTATCAACATTGGAAACATTTAGGTACATTTATAAAAGCAATAAAAAATGCTGGTTTAGTGGTTTCGGCAAAAAAGATAAACCTATGCCAAAAAAAAATAAGATTTATAGGACACAATATTTTTAAAGGGAGAATCATTCCCATTGATAGAGCAATATAATTCGCATCTAAATTTTCAGATGAAATAAAAGGAAAAATTGAATTACAAAGATTCCTTGGATGTTTAAATTTTATTTCTCATTTCTATAAAGATCTGGCCTTAGCAGCAAAACCTTTATTTCAAAGACTGAATAAGCATCCTCCAGAATGGGTAGATGAACATACTAAGGCCGTCAAAAAGATTAAAACAAAAGCCAAAGAATTACCATGCTTAGCCCTATCCAGTCCTACAACGTCTAAAATAGTAGAAACAGATGCCTCAAAATAGGGACTTGGTGCATTATTAAAACAGAAAATCAATAATCAAGAGCATTTGGTCCGGTTTACTTCTAAAACCTGGAACCCGGCCCAACAAAATTATTCAACCGTGAAAAAGGAGATACTTTCTATTGTCCATGCTGCCAAAAAATTTCAGAGTGATCTGCTTAACCAGTCATTCCTTATATGAACTGACTGTAAAGCAGTCAGGGATATTCTTCAGAAAGATGTAAAACATCGCGTTTCAAAACAAATTTTAGCAAGATGGCAAGGTATTCTCTCAGCTTTTGAATTTACTAAAGAACATATTAATGGTAATATCAATTATTTGCCTAACTATTTAACACGAGAATATTTGCAGGAAGGCAGAAGGAATCAACAAAAGCGATCAATGGCAATAATCCCTAGCCCGGGGAAAACCCTCACATCACCATCAATATCAAACACTTTAATAAGAAGGCAAATACAAGATATTGATATATCTCCCCGTCAAACACAAATAAGCACTCAAACTCCTAGTACTAAAACCACATATTTGGAAACAACATATATTCTTTTATTGATTATAGAAAATGACCACCAGTCAAAAACCCCAACTGAAATAGCTGTCATATATTTAAGGCAACATATGCATCCCAATATGAATGAAAGATGTAGGGAATGGTACAAATACATCCTTATGAAAATAGGTTCGGTATTTATAGTACACCATTACCGAAACAATGATACAGAAATAGCATACTCCAAATTTCAAATATAAAAAGCTATTTCTTACCATGAATGGGGACTAGATCCTTTAAAACTAAGGATCACCAATACGAAAGGATTTAAAATAAAATCCTATCACTACTTCGAATATAGAAAAGCTTGGGACAAAGTTTTTGCATACCAGAATACAAAAAATTCACATAGCTGGTATATTCAATTTAAATTAATTGAGCCAAATGAGTTTCCTAATTGGTTTAAAAATTGATTCCCTATATGAGGATCATCAAGCCAAAATTTACCTACAAATCTACAAATTTCACAGAGAAAATTCTCTTATTGCAATAGGCAAAGTCTTAAAAGAGACTATCATATATACTTTATGGCTTTATATCAGGTCCTGTGGATTTTAAAATGGGATTATCAAATCTCAAAAGATCTTATGGATAGGTGGGATTACCTTTCTAAATTAGAGAGACAAATATCCATTAAATGGTGGAACAATTATAAAAATGAATCCCTCAGTCTAGACAAAATAAAAACGAAACTTATACCTTCAGTTTCATCTCAATAGAAAAAAATAGAAATATCAGAATATGTTGCAATGCTACAGCAACAAAACCCTAAACTATCTAAAGAAGAGCTTAAAAGGAAGCTCTGGAGTGCTATAGAAGACAATGACAAAATGTCCACCTCTACTCAGAGTAATGAACAAGAAGACTACAGCCCAATGAACAGTGATGATTGTTCAAGCATTGAATTTCCTTCAAAGTAAAGAAAATTCGCAGAGGGACTTGGACGACTCGACCCATATCCAGGACACGTATCCGTTTACCGAAAAATCTGTTTTTTACTGTAGCCACCACCAACAGAATCTACTTTTGTTGTAGCTACCATCGACAGAATCTACTATATATATATATATATATATATATATATATATATACTACTCCTACTTACTAAACTAACGTAACTAACTCGTACTACTACGTACACTACTACCTTACTTACAACG